TGATCCCACCCAGCTGGAAGCAACCTCTTCCTCCTTTAAGTTGCTCAGAGGCAGCCTTTAGTTCTCACATATATATCTTATATACCTAATGATCTTTCAAACATTCTAGGGTCAAAAACTTTGGCTCATTCAATTTTTTGTTTCATTTAGTGTCTAAAACCGTGACTGATTTGTAACATATACTCAAATATTTATCGATGAATGAAAGTTAAGAAAATCTTAAGAATTATATGCTCATTTTCAAATGAAAAGCTAAACATTAAAAAAAATGTACATAAATGAATATAAAAGTATTAATATTCCCTTCCTCTCTTCAGGATAAATACAACAGAAAACATAATGCTTCCTAGATTACTAAAAAATGTACATGCTTGTCCTCAATTCATTAAGTGAACACTTGATACCCAGGTTGCAAAAAATTTGAGTCTGTTCTTGTCAGAAGCTCTAATAAATGTTCTGGTTGTCATCAGATTCCAAAAATACGTTACCTATCTCACTCAAATGAGCTGTGATTTTAAAGAACTGCCAAGGGTTAGGCTAATTGTGGCAGATATTCAACACCCCTCTTTATGGGTTCTCAAATACAGCCCTCAAGATTCCTTAGGAACATACATTTTAGGTCTATAAATTGGTAGGTTTTCTCAGTACAACACATATATGTTTTTATTGATTTTAGAGAGAGAAGAAGGAGAGAAAGAGAGAAATATCAATTGGCTGCCTCCTGCACGCCGCCTACTGAGGATCAAGCCAGCAACCCAAGCATGTGCCCTGACCAGAATCAAACCTGTGACCTTTTGGTGCATGGGACCAAACTGAGCCACACTGCCAGGGCCCTTTTCACATATTTTAAAAGAGAATTTGGGGACTCTATTATTTAAGGTCAATGCCTGATTTAAATATTGACTATTAATTACTTCCTTCATTTTTAATCTTCTAACCTCTCAGACTTACAATCGCTGGTCATAGTAGCCAATGATTTCCACATATGAAGTGGTATTTGCAATCTTCCTGGTCTGTATCACTTGGATGCTTTTTAAAAAATGTTTTTATTAATTTTTAGAGAGAGGAAGGAGAGGGTGAGAGAGAGAGAAATATTGATGAGGGAGAAATATCACCATCAACCGATACCCTACTGGGGAATCAGCCTGCAAGTGGGCCATGTGCCCTGACTGGGAATCGAAACCAGTGACCTCTTGGTGCATGGGTAGACGCTCAACCATTGAGCCACACCAGCCAGGCTGGATATTCTTATAGCAGTCAGCAGCAGAACTGCTTCATCGTAATTCCTTGAGCCCTGGCCGATTTGGCTTGGTGGTTGGAGTGTTAGCCTGGGAACCTAAAGGTCAGCAGTTCGATTCCAGATCAAGGGCAGGTACCTGGGTTGCAGGTTTCATCAGGGGCGAGTGCGGGAGGCAATCAATGGATGTCTCTCTCAAATCAATGTTTCTCTCTCCCTTCCTCCCTTCCACTCTCTCTACAAATCAATGGGAAAAGATATCCTTGGGTGAAGATTTAAAAAAAAGATAGGGTCTCGGTTATTATAAAAACCGTAAGATCAAATGGAATAAAGGGTCAGTAAACTGACAAGGAGAGAAATGGATTCAGTAAGAAGAAATTGAATAATCAATGACCTTGGAGATTTCAGACAAACCTGATTTTCTATTGAAGGCAGAGATATAAATAGCACAAACATAACACAGACACATAGAAACAAAAGCCACCAGCTCAACTTTTTGTCTGAAAACTTGTTAGGTCTAGAGAACTGTTCAAACCACAGCTGCTAATGGTTATGGATTTGGCAATCAAAATGTCTTTGTTTTAAAAAAAAGTTTTAACTGCCTTACTATTGAGGTTACAAACCACAGCCTTGATGCATTGTTGCAGTTAACATCCTCCCTGCTGTTTTTGAGAGCTTACATCTGCTGCTGGCAGATAAAACGCTGGCAAACGGCATGGGCTCCTTCCAGGGGAATACAAAAGTTTTAACTAGATGGCTCTCATCTACCTCAGTCTCCTGAGTTGAGCCTTCAGTGCTTTCTGTAGCACTCCTACCTTGTCTAGGTTGATCCCCTGCTACTACTTAAGAGGGTGGAAGGTCTAGTGGGGGTTTTTTTCTGGTACAAATCAGCCATGCCAACCATACTATTCTTAGAAGATAAAAAGAAGACGAATTCTTAGCTCAGGGGAAAGCACTATTAGCACATATTTTAAAGCCACTTCTAGTGTAGTGCACTTGACTTTTAACAACCACTAATAAAACATTTACTGTGGGGTTTTTTTGTGTGTTTTTTTTAAACTAAATGATCACACTATGCTGAAAATAGTGAGGGCTTAGTATATTTTAACTAATCAAAGAAAGGCCAAGAACTCGAGGTCAGGAAGTAAGTTACTGAGTTTCTCTAGGGAAGAGAAAAGTTACGAACGATGGAGAAGTAAAATGTGGGCTAAGTCACATAGGAGATTGGTTTCAGTTGAAATAAAATTAGTATATCCACACGGGTTTTCAAAGAAAATGCAATTTAGGTGAGTGATGAGAAATGAGTGCGGAAATGCAGAAAGAAGACTTAAGTCAAGAAAGTGTCTTCTGGATGATTCTCCCTCAGTGAGCTAATCTATGAGGATGAGAGAAAACCAAATATATTCAGACTAGCAGTTCCAAAACGTACACACCACAGTGTAAGATACCAGTTCTGAATATGAAAATAGGGAGTTTTGGGGGATAGAGGGGGAAAGAAGAGGCAGAGATGTGGTCAAAAAGTTTTGTGAACAATGAAAGTTATATCCACCAGATATATCAGAGAGTTACATCCGAATCATAATACACACTAGCATATTAAGGGCTCTGAGAAGTTTTTCAGTAAATAAATTTATTTAATGCAAATACATTTTCCAAATGTATGTGTTCATGGAAACCTCACAATCTCCCTACCCTCGTTATTTTTCAGAGAACACCTATACCATGGAATAGTTTGGGAAATGCTAGTGTAGGGTTATAATACATAAACTCTCAACTCATTCTTGCAGAAATGAGAATAAGGTTGGTAAAACGGTCGAGGCAATCACATTTCATAGAATATCATAGAACCCTAGCTCAAAGAGAGACAGACAGGTAGGCAGGCTACCAAGGGTGCTTGAGACATTTTCCAAAAGCAGCCAAATACCAAAGCTACAACTTTAAAAGCTGTAAGATCCTTATCTGATAATCATCAAATAGGGTTAATACCAATTCTGAATACATTCATGTGCTACCTTCAAATATAGAATAGAAACAATAGGGAAAAGCCACAGAAAAGCTGACCATAGGAAAAATAAGCATGGGATTCCTGTGTTTAATGAAGCTTAGAGGCTTCTGGCATTTTGAAATATTCTAATGTCATACATTAGGGAAACTCATAACGAGAGTTGCCATGACCTCCAGCTAGAAACATATGGAAGGATTCCTCCACATCTATAAGCTACCTTCAGCTTTCTCAGGATAAAAGACAGGATAGGAGGAATATTATGCTACCCTGAAAGACAAGAACCTGGAGAAACCAAAACGATGTTTTGTTAATTAGATTTCTAATTCCATAGACTAGGATTATAGTTTCCCAACCTTTTCTACATAAATTGTGGCATAAAGAAGACTGGCTACAAATCATTTGATCTTGTATCAGGTGGTGGTTTGCTTGATTGGCAAATGAGAAAGTAAAGGAAGATCCCTTGCCAAAACCACCACCCACACTGCCAGAGGCTGCTGGTTATTTTTTTTTACAATGCAAATAACCTAAGAAGAAAAGTTATACTACGCTGTTAATGACTGTGAGAATCTCTAAAATTGTAAAGCTTACACCAATATAAGAAATTCTTACATTATTTCTAAACTGGAAAAAAAAGGCTAGAGTAAAATAATGACACTGAAAAAAATGGGTAAAGGGCCCATTAGATGGATAGGACAGGCACAAGTGTGTGGAAAATGAAGAGCCTCCACATGTCTGTGGTTTTGCGTAGATCTAGATCAGTGCTAAGAGCAGAAAAAAAGGCTAGGAGTACAAAGTCATGCCAAATTAGATACATTGTATTCATATACATAAAGTAATCAGAGAAGGGCTGAGGAGGCAATCCACAAGAAAATGAAAGACAGAAAACTAGAGAGATCAATAACTATTAGCTAAAATATGTGAGGAAAGGATAGAGAAGGTGATATAGGAATAGTGTTTTTCAAAATTGCAGACAGTAACACTAGTGAAAGGCAAATAAGTCTGGAAAGCAAAGAATTTACTGAGAAAAACTGAAGAACACTTTCTTTAGCACAGTGGTAGAAGCCCTACTGCTTAAAGGAACTATTTAAAGTACAGGTAACCCACACTGGTAGGTAAAACTCTTCATGCTTCAAGGATGATCCTTCTGATTTTGGATTTCTCTAGTCTCAGTCTAAACACAAGACTCTAAATTTCAGGTTTTCCTTTAGCTCCCTCTGCTGTTCAAAAATGTACTTTAGTTATGTCAGTTCTATCTTAAATGATCAAAATAAATAAAAATACACACATACATACACACGCACACCAAACTTGGCACAGTCCAGGCAATCAGAGTTCAAACATTTGCTTATTATGAATTCTCTGGCCCAGAACAAATGTTCCAGAATAAGTAATAACAAATTCAATCATTCCCACCACCTAATTGAAATTCAAGGGATAATGGAAGCTTTATTCACCAAAAGCAGCGAACTTTTACTAAGGGATGAGGATCCTATATGTGTTAGCTGGATTGTGGCAAAAGCTTTTTATGCAGAAATGTATATGTGCCTATTCTCCATATACCAGAAATCAAAGCATCACTATACCATACTTTTTCTGTTTCTACCCTGGTCTTTTCTCTCCCCAGTATCTCCTAATTAAAAGTTTCTCTTCATATGTTTAAATCCAATTGCTAGCACCTTACTATCTTCAGGATATCCTGTGCTGAAAGATCTATGGTGGCGAAGCAAGCATCTGTCCAAGAGAAGTATTCTTACTCACCTGATCCTTAAATTGATTCTGGGACAAGCAGTCAATTAGGTCCACACAGCCCAGAAGACAACCTGATGGATAGTCATTGGGGAATTCCACATCTGAATCAAGAATAAAGAATGATTAAATTTCCTTTTTTGTGACCCTAGAACTCACAAATCTGTTTTCAATTCTGAACAAATAACTTTCTCTATTATCTATATGTAGACATAAGGAAAACAATGAGGTTTTTATTTGGTTCAACTGTTGATATTTTAGCAAAAAAATTTGAGTGGCTGGTTTAGTCCACTCTCCACATCTAAGCTATAGGAAAATTACTCGCACACCATTGAAGTTCAAAGACCCCACAGTTTCACTTCAAACAAATCAATTCCACTACAATCAACTGGATCAGACTGGTGTTTAGTGATGATGGGTTTTGGAAACAAGCTACAGGTGTCAAGAGAAAACCCATAAATATTTTTTTTAAAAATTAAGAATGTCAGAACACACAAATTTAAAACAAGCCTGTTATATAAGTCAAAACAGAAAAACATTTTTATAGAAACATGTACTTTGGATTTCTTTTATATATACATATATATGTATATATTTTATTGATTTCAGAGAGGAAGTGAGAGGGAGAGACAGAAACAACAATGATGAGAGAAAATCATTTTGATCGGCTGTCTCCTCCCCCACTGGGGATCGAGCCTACAACTCGGGCATGTACCCTTGACTGAAATCTAACCCGGGACCCTTCAGTCCTCAGGCCAACGCTCTATCCACTGAGCGTGGATTTTTAAAAACTTCTATAGGTGCTGCCCTGGTCAGTGTGGCTCAGTTGGTTGGGTGTTGTCTGTGCACTGAAAAGATTGCCAGTTCGATTCTTGGTCAGGCCACATGCCCTGGTTGCAGGCTCAATCCCTAGAGGGGATGTGCAGGAGGCAACTGATCAATATTGCTCTCACATCAATATCTCTCTCTCCCCCTCTCCCTTTCTCTCTCTAAAAATCAATAAAAAGTCTTTAAAAACAAATAAAGAAAAAAACTTTTATAGGTGTGTCTGTAATTATCCTCTCATTCTATCTTAAAAAGAACTGTATGATCTGAATAAAAGGAAGGAAAACAAGACACCCAAGGGTGAGAAGTGTATTTTAAGATCCAAATTTAGTGTGCTGAGGGTGATTGCCAAAATACACTGCTTAAGTCAACCAACCTTGATCTGTCCAAATCCAATAGCAGATGTCTATTTGGATCACTCCGGATAAAAATTTTTATTTGTGGTTCTTCCCAATCTAAAGATCCCATAGTTTACAGCAGTCATATATATTTACTATGATTTATTATCATAGTGTATATATGTATATATATGTATATATGTGTGTAAAAATAAAAACGAATTACTTAAAGGGGAATACAGTGCAGCTAACCGGAAATGGAGGCATTCTAATGTCACAAGAAAAACCTG